CTATACCTTTATCTTGGCTCCCAGTCTCCTCTTCATGTTTCGGTTCTGAAAGAAAAGAAGAAAAAAGTTCCTAGCTGGCTGATTTACACAAAGTATCCCAACAATAACTATAGCCTACCTGATAAGTTTGAATGTTAGGCATTTAATTCATTTCTCTACTGATAAATGTAATGCTCTCAGGTACTTTCTCTAGTTTTAGGGCCTGCTTAGATACACTAACCCTTACTGGGGCCTTTAGTGGGACTTCTACACGTAAAACAAATACTGAATGTGAACATAAAGCTAAAGTTTTGGCATATCTACCCACACAAATGAAATATTCAGAATAATGATGACAATAAAAGCATCATTCTGTGCAATTATTATAATACACCAGCATTCATAATTTTTGAGTGCAGAGCCAGATCTAGTTTTTGTAACTCTGAAGGAGAATGTTAAAAATTATTATTTTACTTTCAGGCAGTGTCTAAAATGAGCAGAGAGGGGAGAGAGAGAAAGAGGGAGAGAGAGAAAAAGGGGAGAGAGAGAGAAAGAGGGGAGAGAGAGAAAGAGGGGAGAGAGAGAAAGAGGGGAGAGAGAGAAAGAGGGGAGAGAGAAAGAAGAGAGAGAGAGAAAGAAGAGAGAGAGAGAAAGAAGAGAGAGAGAAAGAAGAGAGAGAGAAAGAAGAAAGAGAGATCAGAGAGAGAGATAGGGCTTGCATAAGTCAAAGCTCTGATAAACTCTTTATTGATGCTGTCAATGCTGCTGCCATCACTTTAGTGATATCCACCAGGAATACAGACAGTGAAGATTCACTGTCAACTGGAATCCTATTAGACATGGTGCAGTCTGTGTTCTGAATCAAGAACTAAGTCATATAAAGCAAGAGTAAGAACAGAAATTGAACTACTCTGGCCACATCTGGATAGTCAAGCATTTCAGCAATGCCCTGACAGCATCAGGAGGAGCCAGGAAACTACAGGCCTGTCAGCCTCACCCCCATCCCTGGAAAGGGGATGGAACAGAGCTCATGCTGGAGGCCATCTCAAAGCATGTGGAGGACAAGAAGGTGGTCAGGAGTAGTCAGCATGGATTCACCAAAGGGGTAGCTGTGCTTGACCAATCTAATAGCCTTCTATGACGGAACAACTGGCTGGGTAGAGGAGGGGAGAGCTGTGGATGTTGTCTACCTGGACTTCAGCAAGGCTTTGGACACTGTCTCCCATCACATCCTCAGAGGCAAGCTCAGGAAGCGTGGGCTGGATGAGTGGACGGTGAGGTGGATTGAGAACTGGCAGAATGGCAGGGCTCAGAGGGTTGTGGTCAGTGGCACACAGTCTAGTTGGAGGCCTGTAGCTAGCGGTGTCCCCCAGGGGTCAGTCCTGGGTCCAGTCTTGTTTAACTTAACGATCAGTGACCTGGATGAAGGCACAGAGTGCCTCCTCAGCAAGTTTGCCAATGGTACAAAACCGAGAGGAGTGGCTGATACACCAGAGGGCTGTGCTGCCATTCAGAGGGACCTGCACAGGCTGGAGAGCTGGGCAGTGAGGAACCTCCTCAAGTTCGACAAGGGGACATGCAGAGTCTTGTAGCTGTGCAGGAAAAGTTGATCATGAGTCTGCAATGTGCCCTTGTGGCCAAGAAGGCCAATGGTATCCTGGGCTGCATTAGGAAGAGTGTTGCCAGCAGGTCGAGGGAGGTGATCCTGCCCCTCTACTCAGCCCTGGGGAGGCCTCACCTGGAGTACTGTGTTCAATTCTGGGCTCCCCAGTGCAAGGGAGACATGGCACTACTGGAGAGAGTCCAGCAGAGGACTACAAAGATGATAAAGACATTGGAGCATCTCTCGTATGAGGAAAGGCTGAGAGAGCTGGGCCTGTTCAGCCTGGAGAAGAGAAGACTGAGAGGTGATCTCATCAACGTGTACAAGTATCTGAAGGGAGGGTGTCAAGAGGATGGGGCCAGACTCTTCTCCGTGGTGCCCAGCGACAGGACAAGAGGCAACAGGCAGAAACTGAAACACAGGAAGTTCTATCTGAACATGAGGAAAAACTTCTTCACTGTGAGGGTGACAGAGCACTGGAACAGGTTGCCCAGAGAGGTAGTGGAGTCTCCTTCCCTGGAGATATTCAAAACCCGTCTGGATGTGATCCTGGGCAATATGCTCTAGGTGACCCTGCTTGAGCAGGGAGGTTGGATTAGATCATCTCCAGAGGTCCCTTCCGACCTCAACCGTTCTGTGATTCTGTGATCAGCATTGGAGAAAATATTACATCAGAGGTTCTGCCACAAAACTCTGATGAGGAGAGGAGAAACACATCTCATAGAGATACAGAAGATATAGTGACTCTAGAATAGAGACATTCATACTTCTGCTGATTTCTAAAACAGTAGCATCTGAAGATTTAAAATATTTCTTCAGGTGAAAGTGAACTGTTGCACTTCTGAAGCTAATGTCAAGAACGTAAGCTTTACATTTGAGTGTAAGAATTTCAGATGTCCATGTTGGACCTCAATGCCTTCTTTTCTGGCATGAGAAACAGATACTTCTTCTCCAGAAAAAAAAGAGCAAACCTGTTTCATTATTCATAGGGCTAAAAGCATGCTTTTGTAAGAATGGTCAAAGCCTGGCAATTTCGTAGCCAAGAAATTTTTTTGACAATCAGCTACCTTGGAATTTCCTCTTTAGAATGAATGGAATCACCTATTATCTTCATCAGCCTAATCACAGAATTTGGAATGCTAGAGAAATAGTAAAAAACAAACAAATAAACAAGGAAACAAAAAAAAAATCCTAAATCTGATCCATCCAGTAGTATTTACAACTCATCTTGCAGCACTTGATTGTAATCACACATGAAATTGTGCTTACCAAAGTCCATAAACTACTGATAAAATAGACTAATTCACTGTCATTGTGCCAGGGCCAGAATAGAACTGCAGACTGCAGAACATGAAATGGTTTGGGAACCGATTGTACAGCGAGTTGGTGTAAATTCTTTTAGGAATCTCTATGATCATTTGCATCAAAAGCATGTATAGATTCTTCTGGAGCCAGGGTCTGTGAAGGGGTTCTCTGTTCATCTTACCACCTACGTATGAGGGACTACTAAAGTGAAAATTAAGTTGCATTTCTCCTTGATCTCTGTGTGAGAAGCAGAAGTGATTCTTGACCAGAAACTGATGGTAAAATAAGATTCTCTTGGAAAGGAGGATAAATCACAGGCTCAGGAAAAAAAGCTAGGTCTCTATAGTTTTACATCCCATTTATGCTCACATATTTTTTCAAGGGCTTCATAGCTGAGGCAAATAAGCAGAATAAGAGGAAAGAGAATGTGCCTTTGGCCACTAAAACTCCTTCAATGAGATCTGGACTTCTATCCCAAAGGTGGAAATCAGAATTTCCTTCTTGGTGACAAAGGGGGAACTTAAAGGTTTTTAGGTTTGATTTTTGGTTTTGGTTTTCTTGAAGTTAAGAATCACTATCCTTTGTAGACAGAAGAACAGACTGTAAACAAGAGTATTTTGGAAATATGCTTAACTCCTCTATAGTAAGGTAATCCCCAGGAGGATTTCACAGAAGGAATCATAAGCACATGCCTTTCTTTCAGGACTCTGTGGCCACTTGTTTGTTCTGTTTCGTTTTTTGAGTTTTTTCATTCTTTTTTCTTTGGTCCTAGTAATCATTAGTAAATCAAACTAAAATCAGAATAATCTCCAAAGCACTGGACAGTTACGGACAAGACGAGCACAGTAAAAAGGAGCACTGAGCCACACAGATAAAATTAACTACAGCTGACTTAGCTAGAATTTAACAGGAGAAAGGGCATGCAAAGTCCTCAACATTTTTATAACACATATATACAAAGCATGACAAAGGGTACTGGTATGGGAATACAACCTATAGGAACATTCTGCACTTGTTCAAGTGTTAAATTCTCATTCATTCCTCATATGTACATTTTCATGGTGTGTGTGTGGGGGGGGTGTTGAATATCACATATCCTTCAGGGAACTTACAAAGTAATGTGAAAGCCCGGAAAATTTTAAGACAAAGCAATTTCAATTTTGTATTCATTAAAGATTTTCATAACAATATGATGGAAAAAAAGGGTTATAATACTGTCATTTCAATAAAGATAACAATTTCCATACCATGTTCTTCATTATAATCCCCATGCACTCTGTCTTCTGTTAAAAAGTATATATCAATATTAAAATTCATGGAGTTTTAAAGACAATAAATATATACAAATAATACAGTGTCACGTTTATTCAAGACAAAAAAAACTATTCAAGCACAATTGTATTACACTGTACTAAAACTTAATATTACTAAGAATTCAACTTTTTAAAATGATTTTAAGGGGAAAAAAGTTGAAATATTTCCCAGCATCAGAAGATAAGGTTCAGCAAAATCAGCAGGCTTTTCTCATAAAATTCATTAAATAATCTACAAATGACCCACATTTCATAACGGAAATGTTCATAAGTCATTTCTATATGAGGCAATATTTTATAGAATAATCTGAAATGTTTTGGTTTTAGGGGAGGTTGAGGTTTTTTTGTTTATTTTGAAAGACATTACTTATTCCCTGACACTTACACAGACTAGCTTCAATGTCTTTGGCAAATTCTAAATATATTTCATCTACAGAATCTTTTCTATGCAATTTAAAATATATTTGGCTCATGTTATAGAAAAGTAGTATGCACATAGATCTTTGCATTTTTGAGAACATAAATGAAAATACGCATGTAATAATTTACTAAAAATTTGATATTATTTATAGGCTCAATTTTTTTTAGCTTGGTTTGGGGAAAAAAAGTGAATGTAAGTTCCTTTCATTAGAAAAAATAAGGTTTTAGATTGTACCTGCATGATGCTCAATAGCATCTTCTAGCATTGGCTCAGCGTCACCTTAAATAAAAATATTTTGTATTTTATGTTCTAATCAAGTTGTCATGTAATAGCTAAAAAGCATAAGAGAAGTTAAAATGTCACATACTACTTAGCTCATGAATAATATAGAACTAAACACACTTGAATTAATTACCACATTTTATTTGCAAGTGACAAGTGGATTGTAAACACACCCAGAAGTCACACAATAAAATAAGTTTATACATGTTTATAGTTAGGCTTAGAATTGAGAATATAAGTAGGACCCCATTAACTAGACTGGAGAACTATTCACAGAACAAAATAAAGCATATATAAGTTCTTGTGAATTGGATTTATGGAGTGTTATGTTCACAATTGTAATGGTAACACAGCAAAACTAGTACTGCAAAAACCAGAGTTTTTTGAAACTATCTGAAAACCTCTTTGAAAATAAAGTATGATTACACAGCGAATACAATAAGTAACTTTGAAGCACTTTAAAAAAAAAGGTGTAAGTGATTATACTGCAATTTAAAGTTAGGAAAATTTACAAACCTGGTGCTTCTGGCTCACTTACTGTGTTTTCCACACCCATATCATATTCATATGAAACTGTAAATTAAAAGAAAAATCCACATCTTTAACATTTTATTACTTAAATTTCCACCCCTAATTTGTTTTTTCAACAGCTAAAAGTACCTCTGCAGTACAGATCTAGTTGAAAATTGACCAATTAAAACCTTACTAACAGACTTCTGCAACTGGACACATGCCATTCCAATGGAAGATTTTGGACCATCCTCTCTTCCAGTCTTATGATATATCCTCAGGATGAAAACTAGACCCATGAAAGCCATGAGATACTAGTAAGATTTGAATGGCTCTCCTACTATGAATCAAAAATATAATCTTCCATTATCCTCAAAATTCTAAAGTAGCTTCTTTATTACTCTGCAGAAAGAATCACTGGCACTTATCTAAAGACAGCCACTGCCTATAGTAGCCAGAAAACAGACCTTGAAAAATATGTACATTTACTTACAGTATCACAGAAATAGAGTAATTTACTTCTTTTCATAGATTAGCTAAAAATTTAGATTCTTTTCCTCTGTGCCTGCAATTCTTTGACATGCTGTAACTACACTCAGTAAGATGGATCAGATTTAACACATGGTACTGAAGGTAAGGCAACTACGCTTTTTTCTTTTGAAGTGTAGCAGCATGGATTCCAAATTGGTAGCTGGAAAGCATCTGTCTCCCATAAAGATGGAAATAAGAAGCTTTAGCCATATCAAACAGAAACAAAATTATTGTTCTGTCATATTTGGCATCAAACAATGTTGCAAAATCCAGAACTAACATTTAGCCAATGACAATAAGCCTAGTTCAAATTGAAATCAATATTTGATATAAATAGAAGAGGCTGCGTGTACTATTGAGAACTGCTAACATCCAGAAGAAAATACTTTCCAGATAACAGAAAAACTGTAATATCCACTATATAGATCTGTCTTTTTATATGTTAGGTATGATAACAAAACTGCAGGGAAAAAAGGACTAACACAATCAAAGGGAGAAAATTCCTATATGGCATCAAGTGTAGCATGAAGAAGCCTAGATGCTTACTGGATTAGTCTAGGCAAAGTTTCAAAAAGTAGTAAGACCAAATAGGATGTAGAGAAGCCAGTGCAAGGATAGTTCATTATGAAGCATTTGCTGCTGATTAACTCTCTGATTGTATAACTGGTCATAAAAAAACAAACAGTCCTGATAGAAAGGTTATGAACTGTATGCTTTCAGAAGATGACAGCAAGGTTTCAAGTGAGAAGAGGAATCTCTGACTGATGACAAGAACAATGGCCAGAAGAATTTTAGCATTGTAGAAAGAAAGAAGACAGAGTAATATGAGTGATAAACCTCATTCCCACATTCTCAACCACAGATCTAACTATCTGGGTCCTAAACATATATCCACAACAGCCAGAAATACAGAAAAAAAAATATAAATGAAGTTCTGGTATTACTGAAACCAAAGTTTTCACACCTATCACTCCCTTCCTTATAGTAACATCTGCAATAGCAAATATGATACAGCCCTCTCAGTCAGAGTAAAATTACCCAAGAAGAACAGTTTTGGAGGGAAAAATTATTTCAAAATTTTCAAAATTATGTATTTTTAAATCAGCTGACCAGTTTCTTTTTTACTTTCTCATATCATTTGCTACATTGAGGCATAAAACTAATATTACAGAGTTTGGAAAAAACAGAATTATACCTGGAACTTCATATGTTTCAGGCTCCATTGCTCCAAGATCATCTGCTAAAACATCAGTGTCTGAGAGACAAAGATATATTTACACATTTTAAAATACTTAAGTCAATATATGATGCTGCATACTGTAAAACAAAATATTATGGAGGGACAGAGTCAAACTTCTTAGAAGACATTACAAGCAAATTTCTTCTAATGGCAGAAAGATATTTTATAGATTGAAAGAAAAAAAAAGTAATGCTGAATGTGTATATGTGTGTATATACACACACATATACTGAATACACATTTGCTCAAATAAAGAGAACCTTCCGTACTGAATGTTCTGTTCTCCCTAATTCAAGCATAATGTTGTAAAATCTACCTTGCATGAAGCTCTAAAGAAAACAGAATATATTCACTTTTGCCTTCTTGACCAAGTTAAAGATTAAAAAATATAATTTGAATGTCTTGTCTATTCCTCTACTTTAACTTGCACAAGGGATGAATGGAAGAGATGGAGAAACAAGGAGGTATAATAAACTCAGACTGAAAAGAACTACTTCAGTCATGAAAAAAGAATCTAAGTTTACTTCCAGAAATCAAAACTTTTAGATGATACCCACTGCATGAGATTCACAAAAATATGTCTTCAGGTCTATAAAATTTTCAGCACTTCAGATAAGAGCACCTTCTCAGAAATACTTTTCCCTAATTTGGTTTTAGACTAGATGATTCTGCTTTAATATTTTA